CAAGATTCAGGAGTGCGTTGATGGGGATTTTTCACCATTCTTCCAGAAGCGCATTTGTGAGGTCACACACTGATGTTGAACGAGTTTACATGGCCTACCGCTTCGTAGCCGAGTTGCTGTCGTTCCCAAACACTTCCACATTCTTATAATACAGCTGACAGTTGACCCTGGTATATTTAGGAGCGAGGAAATGTCACGCCTGGATTTGTTGCCCAGGTGGCATCCTATCACAGTTCCACGCTGGAATTCACTGAGCTCCTGAGAGCGACCCATCCTTTCACAAATGTTTGTAAAAACAGTCTGCATGCCTAGGTACTTGATTTTGTACACCTGTGGCCATGGAAGTGATTGGAACATCTGATTCTGATTATTTGGATGGGTGAGCAAATACTTTTGGCAATATAGTGTATATGCTGATCGCCGAGCATCATTTGCCTGATTGTACCAAACGTATTAGGAGATTTTGCAGCTCTGGATTTAAATGCTGCTTGTTTTGTAACAGACAAGTAAATATCTATTGCATACAGACTGTGGTTCATTAGGAACAAACAGATGTCATAGATCCTGATTGTGTGACCACAGGATACTTTAAATAGATTTCTGGTTTTCTGAGTGCCTGCAATGTGATCACCTGATCGCACGGGGAAGGTGGCCACCTGAACATTGAATCCAGGTCATAAGTAGCCTTGGAGACGTCTGTGGTAACTTTTCATGATCATTAAGTGAATGGTCATAAATTGAGGACTACCTCTATTGGAGGATTTCATGGATTCTTTTGGATGAAATGGGGTGAACTTTCCTTAGCCCTCCTAGTTCTTCTGGGTACAAAATACAGGTCTTGTTGCTGACCTTATAGAGCAGTGATGGCTAACCTTTTTTGGCTTGGGTGCCGAAAGCATGCGCACATGTGTGGTAGTGCACAGGCGCATGCCCATACCCATAATTCAATTCCCCTGTGCCTGCCCTGCGCATGCATGCATGACCCTCTCCCTGTGCTCCCACCCCCGTGCATGTGTTCAACGGAGCAGTGGGGAGAGTGGAAAGCATGGGAGGCAACCAAATTCCTCTAGAACAGTGATGGCGAACTTATGGCATGTGTGCCACAGGTGGCATGTGGAGCCGTCTCTAAGGACATGCAAGCCGTTGCCCCAGGTCAGACGCAGCGCGCATGTGTATGCCAGGCAGCTGATTTTCAGCCTCCAAAGGACCTCCGAAGAGCCAGGGGAGGATTCTTTCGCCCTTCCCAGGCTTCAGGAAAACCTCCGATGCCTGAGGAGGGCAAAAACAGCCTCCCCCCCTCCCGGAGGTCCCCCCAGAAGCTGGAAACGGCTGTTTCTGAACTTCTGATAGGCCTGTTTTTTGCCCTCCCCGGGCTTCAGATGTTTCCTGAAGCCTGGGGAGGGCGAAAGCATCCTCCCCTGGCCCTTTGGAGGTCCTTTGAAGGCCGAAAATCAGCTGCCTGGCATACACATGCACGCTGCGTCTGACCTGGGGCAGTGGCTTGCGTGCCTTCAGAGATGGCTCCACATGCCACCTGTGGCACGCGTGCCATAGGTTTGCCATCACGGTTATAGAGGAATTTGGTTGCCTCCCATTTTTTCTACTCTCCCCACTGCTCCCTTGCGATCTGCTTGTGGGACTCAGAACCTCCACACATTTACGCAACCTTTCATGTGTTTCAGCTTTAAGGTGCTGCAAGAGCCAGTCAATTTGGCTGCAAAAAAACAACAACATTTGCCCCTTTGGAAAATGCTGGAAGTCTGCCGCTTTCCTCTGGGGTGCCTTTGTTCAGCCCCACTCCTCTTGGCCAGCCCCCTCCCTAATCCAGAGGTGCTTCTCTCCCAGCTGCATTCCTCTGGACAGTGGCATCAGGAACAAAAGGCCTTTGTGGGGGGGAAGGGCTTTCTTGATTGATGGTTTCCAAAGTCATCCTTCTGTTCTGCGTTCTTTTCCCTGGGTCCGAAGTAACCTTTTGCTTCATTGTGTAACTTGAAAAGCTGGCTGGAACGGAGTGGTTTCGCAGCGCTCTTCCTGTGGCGTTTCCTGCATTCTGACATTGTAGCATGATCTATTCATGGAAAAATTGCAAACTTCCTTTCTCCAGCTGGCCTTGGAGTATATGCCATGGTTTGGGAAGGCTGGGAGGGGAGGGGGAGGACTTGGCAAAAGGGGCCTGGGATGTCCTGCTTTCTTTCTTTGCTCTTTTCCTGCTTGGCTGAAGTCCTCAGGCCAGGCTTTCTTGAACGAAGTCTTCAGCACACTCTTATTTCCTTCCATTGAAAGGAAGATGGTTGCCAAAAGCTGCTCTCCTCACCCTCACACCCCCACCCCCAACAGTGGCTGAAACGGGCACTTTTTCTGTGCTTTAATGAAACAGCCTGGTGGAACATTTCTGATTCCCTCCTCAGTGTCAGCCAGTCGACATAAGAAAGCTTAAAAGGAAATAGTGGCCATTTTGTGCTGGGTGAAAACAAACATACATCCAAGATTCATAGAAATAAAATTTAAAAAAAAGGAGAACTACTGCTTTACAAAATAGTTGCAAGCTTTCTGATTCTAATTCTGGCCAAGAGAATTCTGCATTGCGATAGGATGGTAAATGTTTGTGATTTTGGAAGCTGGAATGTCATAAATCCCTGAATCATTCCACACCAATGACCCTCCAATCTTCTTTGAAGTACACACCCCACCCCAGTGATGGAGTCCCCACCACTCCAGGAAGCAGGCTCCCATAACCTGAAAACTCCTTCGAAAATGGAATATACCGTATTTTTCGGGCTATAAGATGCATTGGAGTGTAAGATGCACCATGATTTTGAAGGGGTTTTTTTAAAAAAAAGTTTTTGCACTCTGCAGACCTCCCAAACCCTCTGCACGCCTCGTTTTTTGCAAAAAGGGGGGGGGGGCTTGTAGAGGCTTTTGGGAGGCTTGTAGAGTGCTCCTGGGGAGGGGGCAAAAACATCCCCTTTTTTGCTCGTTTTTGCCCTCCCCAACCCTTCAGGAACACTTTGCAAGCCTCCCAAACCCTCTGCACATCCATTTT